TCATTTTGCCGTTGCTATATTAAGTACATTAAAGTGCTCTTAAATTGAGTATTAACATTGGTCACAAGAATCATTTGAAAGAACATATTAATGAGTCAAAATAATTACTGTATACAGGTGATGTATACTGGTGCTGTATACTGGTGCTGTATACAGGTGCTGTATACTGGTGCTGTATACAGGTGCTGTATAGTGGGGCTGTATAGTGGGGCTGTATAGAGGTGCTGTATAGTGGTGCTGTATACAGGTGCTGTATACTGGTGCTGTATACAGGTGCTGTATACAGGTGCTGTATACTGGTGCTGTATACAGGTGCTGTATACTGGTGCTGTATACAGGTGCTGTATACACTTCTGTGAATAATCTCTTCTTCACTGCGCCCAGGGCCTGGAGAATGTAATTTACTGAAGCAGCAAAACAAAACTATATGAATCATTATAAACTCCATTCTCAGCTGTTAGACAAAAGAACAATAACATCTTTTTTTTTTTTTTTAGGCAAATGCAATCAGGGAATTCTGCTGTCCCTGTGATGTCGCACTAATCAGGGAATTCTGCTGTCCCTGTGATGTCGCACTAATCAGGGAATTCTGCTGTCCCTGTGATGTCGCACTCTCATGCAGACGGGAACGCTGATGGAAATGCATAGGACTCGGAAAGGCGTCGGCTCAAGTGTTGTCTGGTCTCTGTTTTACAGGTCATTGGTCATTCATTGAAATCATGACGTCGGACCGGCGTCCGGTCTCGGACCAGCGTCTGGTCTAAAGTGGGGGGGTCACTTAATGTCCGATCGCCGTGACGACAGACTGGGGCTCACAGAAATGGGAGGAATGTGGTTATTATGGGCTGCACTTCAGGGTCCAGCTGTTGTGGGACCAGCTGTGGAACAATATGGATCAGAGGTCGTCCATGAAGAAGTCTGAGTCACTCAAGAGAAGGTTCTAACAATGATGTTGTCCAATAAGATTCAGACGGAATGTCAGCAGTTTCTAAATCTAAACCTTAAAGACCTTATGACGGGTTTGATTTATTTAGAAATACAGTTTTAATACCATTTTATATTAGAAGAGAACTACTAAAGGTTTCAAAATCAGTTGTTGTTTTTTTTGTCTGATCCCCCCAAATCGAAATAACCCCATAGCAACGCCCTTAGAAACGAAAAAACTTCACAGCCCTTGGTGACGTCAGAACGGGTACGTTTCAACGCTGTAAGTTGTTTACAATTTGGTATTCGTTCTTTTTTCGCGGATATTCAAGATGACAAGGCCGTGTACAGCGAGTCTGACATAAATACTAGAATGTAACTCTGTTGTCACTGAGATAGTCCAGTGGTTGTGTCGATGGACTGTCAATCTAGATACTTGGGTTCAAATCCCACCTCAGACACTTTTTCACACTCAAAACGGCAATTTATGTGTAATGAGCAGTTGTCACCTGTAGAGGGCAGTATTGTGTTGGGCATCAGTGGAGAGAAGAGAGAAAAGGCAGTCCTGTGGCATAGATCCATGGTTTTCAATGCATGGGCGTTACCCGCTGTGACGTCACACACAGGTTAGAGCATAGACAACTTAAATTCATGAAAAACACGTTCTTTTTATAAAATATAGGATTTTTTTTGCCGGAATCTCTTTCAAATTGACATTGTCATGCAATTTTGATATCCACTATTTTTTTTTTAAAAACCCGTCATAAGGTCTTTAAATGATACGTTTGACAACATCACACAGAGATGCTACAATCCAGCAGCTAATCTGTTTCCATTGAAGGTATTACCTTAAACATGAGTTTGCTTTGAGGGACCGTAACAGGTCATTCGTCTTCTAAATCAGATTACATGACAGTTTACTGGCTTTACTCAGAGCTGCAGCGCCAACCTGCTCCATTCTGCTCCATTCTGCTCCATTCTGCTCCATTCTGCTCCATTCTGCTCCAATCTGCTCCAATCTGCTCATGGATCTCTGGGAAAGTCAAGAGTCTTGCAACAAAACTGAAGTAGAGTTCACAGATGATGAAACAGAGAAATGCGGTCCACTAAAAGAACATATTGTTGGTGATACTGACGAAGCAGAGTAGACTGGTCCTGCTGTCGCTGCAGTGGAAGCACATAAAGAACCTTGTTGGGCTGTTGTAAGTGTAAATGTACGCATTAGTCCATTTCCTATCTTAAATAGTATAAGACTGGTTTATTTTATCATATTTATTGGTTTACATTATAGAAGGAATTATGACTTTCAACAAAACAGGCTTACTGTTTGGATTTAATCAAGACTGGACCAATTACAAAGAAGAAACGTCCAATTAAAGATGTTGGGTTGAACTTAAATTATGCATATGGTTATTTTACTGAGGGAATAACATGCCATTGTAGCGCAGTATCATTAATGCTGCAAGTTCAAAAATAATATTTGAAAATCATTTTAGAGTTTGACATGTCTGGTTCATATATCGGCAACATAAATGCATGTATGATTGACAGATTCCGATACGTTCAATGCTATCAACGATAATGCTTTTCCATTTGGACCAATGCCCCCGTTCAGCCCCCGTTCAGGCTCCATATCATAACAAACAGTCCTTCTGAATAATATAAGTCCTTCTTTGAGACCGTGCTCTGTCCGCTCCATCTTTTCTCTGCGTCTCAAGTGGTTTATTTATCCTCTCCAAACGGCTGCAGGGGCCCGGCCTGCTGCAGCGCCGTGGGCTTGAAAAGGCTCTTTATGTGGCCGGCTTGTCCACGCTGCCTCTCTCTGCTCTCTCTCTCTCTCACAGGAAGAGCCCCAGACCAGACCAAAGGGAGCTCACGTATCAAGTCTCAACACGGAGAGATTAGGGAACACTTCAGATCATTGTGGCGTACAGTAGTGCCACTTCAGAGGTGTCCGGGAAGGAAGTTCATCACAATCTCCAGTTTGGATTGTCTGGGGCCGTTCTGCAGTCTGCCATCCTCCTCTATGCCTTACTAATAATATAATATGGGTTCTGGTTATAGAAGTGGGTCAGGATTATGACTGGGTACTTTCTGAAGTAAGAAACTGAATTAAAAAATGCTGCTAAAAACTATATATTTTATGAAATCCCTCTGGCGATAGTGCGTGGGTGGTAATAATAATAATAATAATAAACAATTCAGCACTCATACATGGCATGAGAAAGGAAGGAATTCACTGAAAAGTATTATGTAAATATCAATGTTCATTTTAGATTACTACCAAGTAAAGGGACCAACAAAGTACCTAAACAGAGCCAGTCCCGATTACAAAGTATGAGTACACGAGCTGTTTAAACAGAGCCCTTTCAAGATCTTACACTTGTATTTAAACAGTTTTAGTCGATTTCACAGAGTTACAATTTCACTTTTTAGTTAGTTTCATTTCTGTACTTTTAACCATTTTATTTATGTGTTTGTCTGGTGCACACTGGGGACTTGTGCAAATGTTTTCCAATGTGGTTTTACTGCAAATGGTAAACGAATCTGAATTACAATGATGTCAATGATAATAACTTGTTTATTCTGCACCAAACAACATCATTGTCATGCAGAGAAGAAGGCGCTCTCCGTCAGAGAGGTTGTTGCCGTGTTCCTTCATAACCAGCTCAGTTTATTACAGTCTGATTGTTCCCAGATTTCATCACCTCATATTTTGCTAAAACAATTTCTCCGGTGGCGCCCTATAACCCTGGTTCTCCTCAGGTACAGTCTGGTCCAGGTCTAAAAGGAGCTATAACCCTGGTTCTCCTCAGGTACAGTCTGGTCCAGGTCTAAAAGGAGCTATAACCCTGGTTCTCCTCAGGTACAGTCTGGTCCAGGTCTAAAAGGAGCTATAACCCTGGTTCTCCTCAGGTACAGTCTGGTCCAGGTCTAAAAGGAGCTATAACCCTGGTTCTCCTCAGGTACAGTCTGGTCCAGGTCTAAAAGGAGCTATAACCCTGGTTCTCCTCAGGTACAGTCTGGTCCAGGTCTAAAAGGAGCTATAACCCTGGTTCTCCTCAGGTACAGTCTGGTCCAGGTCTAAAAGGAGCTATAACCCTGGTTCTCCTCAGGTACAGTCTGGTCCAGGTCTAAAAGGAGCTATAACCCTGGTTCTCCTCAGGTACAGTCTGGTCCAGGTCTAAAAGGAGCTATAACCCTGGTTCTCCTCAGAACCTGAGGAGAACCTGAGACCTTATTCTCCAGGTCTAAAAGGAGAATAAGGATCAATTACAATCTTCTCCTTTCATTCGTTCATTTTCTTAACAAGTGTTTTTTATTGCGTCTGGTAAGAACACAGACCTTTTTAAAGCATATCTCCTCAAACTGCTTGTGAAAGTGATGGATTCCAGATGGGCCACGGAGACATTTATCTTTATCAAGCTGCTTCTATTCCCTCCTTCAAACTTTACCGAGCTAATAATATGAGGCTGGGATTCCATCTGCAGAAAAGCCCAAGTGAAATGAGAGAGAGAGAAAAGTGTACGACAAATGGCCTTTTATATTGGTGGTAATTAGTGATTGGCTTCTCTTCCTGAAAAGACTGGACTCCTTTTTGCACAGGGCACACTAAATACTTTCCATATTTCTGGGGTTGTTCAGTGGCAGCGACAGTCAGGGGCATGAAGCGCTAAAATTTAATTTATTGCCTTCATTCAGTTGACGAGGTATGGTCAATTCTCAAAGTTTGTCATGATCTACTTCACATAAAAGTCTTTTCAGTGTGCCTTGATTTGCCGCTTTTATACGAAGCCTGGAATGATACTGTGCATAAACTCTAACTGTATAGATAGAAACCCTATCTTCAATATGTCCATGGAAACTAAAGCAGACGCTCTCAGGGTCCTCGGACTGACACAGGAATCCCACCTGCATCGGTTTTGTCCTGAAAATGGAGAATAAATGGATCTGATTCTGAATCTATTGAGGATTTACAGGATTTAATATCACCATGCCTTAGGTCCAGGGTGAAGAGTGTTAAAACTGACTCAACAAGTCACTTGTATTTAATTCAAGATGCTCTTTTTAAACCAATGCCAAAGGCTTCTGTGACTGAAGGAGCTGCGTTCTCTAAGACTTCAGATCTTTCTTTCCTTCGCACTGATCAGACTAAATACAGTGCTCTTGATCCAACGAGAGGAGTGTGGATGTTGGAGGAGGATAAGTCTGTTACCATCTGCAGGTTCCATGGTACAGCCATAAATATGAAGGGAACATTTGGTGCATTGGGTCAGAAATCAAACAGTGGATTTCATTGACCACAATCTATTATGGAAAATAAGACACAATGTATTTAAGCTTTAGACTGTATTTGGTTTGTTTTTTCCTGTGTTTATATATATTTTTTCTTTAATGTAGATACATAGGTTTGAAACAAATCAAAAAACATTTATCTTTTAAAAGTTTAAAAACTTCAACATAGATTTTTTTGGCATCATAGAAAATTCAAAATGGATTCCAAACATGAAATAGATGATAGTCATGATAGAAACTAATCAGAAAACACGAGTTTGACCTCTAAATATGCAGCTGAATGTGCCACATATTATATTATAATTATTATTATTATATATATTATTATATATATTTAATAACCTGGCTCTACCGTCTGTTTGCTGCACGACGCCAGAACATTCTCCCAGTTCCTCGAGGGCAGAAATGAGACTTATGCCAAAAGGGTCTGGCACCAGCTCTGGACCTGGCTCTGGACCCGGCTCTGGACCCTGCTCTGGACCTGGCTCTGGACCTGGCTCTGGACCTGGCTCTGGACCTGGCTCTGGACCTGGCTCTGGACCTGGCTCTGGACCCGGCTCTGGACCTGGCTCTGGACCTGGCTCTGGACCTGGCTCTGGACCTGGCTCTGGACCTGGCTCTGGACCTGGCTCTGGACCCCCACAGTCACATGACCTTCACGGGGTCCACTCATATCCTCTTCATATAGAGATAATTATACAAGGTTTGGGGCTGGAATCATACCCACATGTTTATGGGCTGCTTTTTAAGAACTGAAAACAATGCATATAATCTATTGATATGGAGTGAGAAGGGAAAATAAAATAAAGAGAGACTGAGGGATTCAAAGAGGATGTCATTAAAAGCATTTTATCACCACATGGCAATTAACAGAAAATGTCAACACGTTAGGGCACTATCAGGGTTTTAGTCCTTGGGCACAGAAACAGACTTGTTTGATAGGAGGTGCGTATAGTGATAGAAGTATTGGACAAAGTAGTGGTATAAATCAGTTATATTGTTATTAGGATGTAGTAGTAGCTGTAGTATAGTCTAGTCATCTTTAGTTGGTACAGTTTGGTTTCTTCTTTTTTAGTTTTTTTTTTTTTACAAAACGGACCACCTTTCACACCACTACATCATCAAACTATCCCCTCCACACTAGATCCACCCCTCACCCTGCCCCTTCCCCCTAAAACACATTTCTTTCTGTCCATTTCACCACTACACCGAAGTAAGTCCCGCTCCTTTAGACTTATTCTGGCAACGTGCAGAAAAACCCCTAATCTCTCTTTAATATGGTTTGGCCGGATGTGAATAACTGTGGACAATGGCACTAATCTGGGCCTGACACAGCAATGAGAGGGACAGGAGGAGAAGAGGAGGAGGAGGAAGAGGAGGAGGAAGAGGAGGAGGAAGAGGAGGAGGAGCAGGAGGAGGAAGAAAAAGTGTGATGTCCCAGCGCAGATCAAGGAGAGAGTCTGAAAAGGCCGTCCTGGGGCGGGCTTCTTCTGGGCTTCCTTCTCTTGTTTCCACTATTCTCCTTTGGACTCTATACAAGAGCCCCCAACATCCAGTGAAAGTTAGACGTTAGCTCCAAACACCCCGCCCCGTCCTAATGCCAGCCCTTTGCCCCAACTCCAAATGTCACCTCTGCCCCAAACGCCTGCCGCCTGTCCCGCTAATGAGAATCCTCTTTTAAGAGACATTAAAGACAAGAGAAGAAGAAGAAGCAATAGCCAAAGAGTGAAATGTAGGTACAACATTAACTGCAATCATAACAAAAATCATGTGAAATTGCTGTGAAATTAAAGCTCAATATAATATTTGTGATTATAAATCCGTCGAAGTAGTCCCTGGCTCTAAACCAGTTTTTACATGTATGTATTTATCGTCCTCGGTCTCATCTTCGGGATCAACCTTTTCTGACAGAAAAGTGGTCTGATTTCCTCTCAAAATGTTAATTTTACAAGAATCTTTCTGTTGGAACAAATAAAATGCATTATCCAGAGTTTGGAACTCCAGCTTTAATGTTTATTGTGGTACAACGCTGTGAAAGAGCACGTGGTGGAGTCGGTACAGCCTGTGCCAGCCCTTTCCCTCTTTCTCCAATCAACTGCTGTCTGTCTCGCTAACGAGCATCGGAAGTTACTGTACGTCCAGAGCGGCGTTTTGGCACGGCTGAATCGCCCGGGCTCCTTTCACGCCGCGGTCGCCCCACACCCTGAGCGCGTTGGGCTGGGTCCATCCCTGCTTCATTGTCATTCCAAAGACGAACTGGCCTACTTTCAATTCAGAAGACAAGTGTGAGGACTGAGGAGCTCCACGGCCACAAAAGCAGGATGTTCACGGAGTGTGTGCGAGGGGGGCCGCGACCAAACAACCACACTTCCCCTCGGCTGCAGAGAACCAATCCCATCACAAGACGCCTTTATTAGTGGACTTTGGCTGGGCCTGCAGTCCTCACCAGGCAACGGGACGCGACCAGTACAGTCCTGACCTGGCAACGGGACGCGACCAGTACAGTTCTGACCAGGCAACGGGACGCGACCAGTACAGTCCTGACCAGGCAACGGGACGCGACCAGTACAGTCCTGACCAGGCAACGGGACGCGACCAGTACAGTCCTGACCAGGCAACGGGACGCGACCAGTACAATCCTGACAAAGGGACGCGACCAGTACAGTCCTGACCTGGCAACGGGACGCGACTAGTACAGTTCTGACCAGGCAACGGGACGCGACCAGTACAGTCCTGACCAAGCAACGGGACGCGACCAGTACAATCCTGACAAAGGGACGCGACTAGTACAGTTCTGACCAGGCAACGGGACACGACCAGTACAATCCTGACAAAGGGACGCGACTAGTACAGTTCTGACCAGGCAACGGGACACGACCAGTACAATCCTGACAAAGGGACGCGACTAGTACAGTTCTGACCAGGCAACGAGACGCGACCAGTACAGTCCTGACAAAGGGACGCGACTAGTACAGTTCTGACCAGGCAACGAGACGCGACCAGTACAGTCCTGACAAAGGGACGCGACTAGTACAGTTCTGACCAGGCAACGAGACGCGACCAGTACAGTCCTGACAAAGGGACGCGACTAGTACAGTTCTGACCAAGCAACGGGACGCGACCAATAAAGCACTGACAATGGGACGCAACCACTACAGTCCTGATGAGAATACACAACTGCTACACGGTCGTCTTATAAACAATTATTTATAATAATAAAACACAAACGAGTTCTGACCACATAACAACAATGTTCTTCCTCAAAGAATGCTCTGTGTTGAATCTGGTCTGAGCTGTGATATCGGTCTGTTTTGACTGTTTTTACCACATTAATACTTTCTAACCTCATTCTAATCTTTTCTATGTCCTTATGTATAAACTACATAATAATAATGAGAATGGGCAGTCCCACTGCAGACACAGAGCTCCCAGTCTACGTCTACAGTTGGTGGGAGAGAAGAGGAAAGAAGAAGGAAAGAACTGATCAAAGCAAACACATTTGAAGCGGCATCAGCAGTTTTATGCCCGGGGATTTGAACTAGTGATGACTGAGACAAAAACTTTAACAATGAGTAAGTGGTAAACTTATACAGCTCAGTGTGACGAGAGAAACAAAAGCAGGTCAAATAAAACATATATAGATCATTTAAGTGTATAAAATAACATTGAAACTGGGCCCAGGGTGAAGAGCAGCAGCAGCAGCTGAGGGAGAGGTTTTGTAGAAGAGAGATCGAAACGTTAAACTTTGACCGGAGTGACCCTGACCTCGACCTTCCCCGTGACCCCAGCAGTGTGGCCAGTGTAGCCCCCCCCAGCGGTGATGACAGACCCCAAACACAGCCCAGTCTGCTCCGGCAGTGGAGGGGGGGCATAGAAATGAGGAGACAGAGACATCAGTGTCAAGAAAGGGTTCTCACAAAAGACTTGAAATACACACCAAAGCTTTAACGCCATGAATTCAGCAGCTCTGGTTGTTTGTGGTTCTGTGTGTTTGTGGTTCTGGTTGTTTGTGGTTCTGTGTGTTTGTGGTTCTGTGTGTCTGTGGTTCTGTGTGTTTGTGGTTCTGTGTGTTTGTGATGTGGTTCTGTGTGTTTGTGGTTCTGTGTGTCTGTGGTTCTGTGTGTCTGTGGTTCTGTGTGTCTGTGATGTGGTTCTGTGTGTTTGTGGTGTGGTTCTGTGTGTCTGTGATGTGGTTCTGTTTGTGATGTGGTTCTGTGTGTCTGTGATGTGGTTCTGTTTGTGATGTGGTTCTGTGTGTCTGTGATGTGGTTCTGTTTGTGATGTGGTTCTGTTTGTGATGTGGTTCTGTGTGTCTGTGATGTGGTTCTGTTTGTGATGTGGTTCTGTGTGTCTGTGATGTGGTTCTGTGTGTTTGTGGTTCTGTGTGTCTGTGATGTGGTTCTGTGTGTTTGTTGTGTGGTTCTGTGTGTCTGTGATGTGGTTCTGTTTGTGATGTGGTTCTGTGTGTCTGTGATGTGGTTCTGTTTGTGATGTGGTTCTGTGTGTCTGTGATGTGGTTCTGTGTGTTTGTGGTTCTGTGTGTCTGTGATGTGGTTCTGTGTGTTTGTTGTGTGGTTCTGTGTGTCTGTGATGTGGTTCTGTTTGTGATGTGGTTCTGTGTGTCTGTGATGTGGTTCTGTGTGTCTGTGATGTGGTTCTGTGTGTCTGTGATGTGGTTCTGTGTGTTTGTGGTTCTGTGTGTTTGTGGTGTGGTTCTGTGTGTCTGTGATGTGGTTCTGTTTGTGATGTGGTTCTGTGTGTCTGTGATGTGGTTCTGTTTGTGATGTGGTTCTGTGCGTCTGTGATGTGGTTCTGTTTGTGATGTGGTTCTATGTGTTTGTGGTTCTGTTTGTGATGTGGTTCTGTGCGTCTGTGATGTGGTTCTGTTTGTGATGTGGTTCTGTTTGTGATGTGGTTCTGTGTGTCTGTGATGTGGTTCTGTTTGTGATGTGGTTCTGTGTGTCTGTGATGTGGTTCTGTGTGTTTGTGGTTCTGTGTGTCTGTGATGTGGTTCTGTGTGTTTGTTGTGTGGTTCTGTGTGTCTGTGATGTGGTTCTGTTTGTGATGTGGTTCTGTGTGTCTGTGATGTGGTTCTGTTTGTGATGTGGTTCTGTGTGTCTGTGATGTGGTTCTGTGTGTTTGTGGTTCTGTGTGTCTGTGATGTGGTTCTGTGTGTTTGTTGTGTGGTTCTGTGTGTCTGTGATGTGGTTCTGTTTGTGATGTGGTTCTGTGTGTCTGTGATGTGGTTCTGTGTGTCTGTGATGTGGTTCTGTGTGTCTGTGATGTGGTTCTGTGTGTTTGTGGTTCTGTGTGTTTGTGGTGTGGTTCTGTGTGTCTGTGATGTGGTTCTGTTTGTGATGTGGTTCTGTGTGTCTGTGATGTGGTTCTGTTTGTGATGTGGTTCTGTGCGTCTGTGATGTGGTTCTGTTTGTGATGTGGTTCTATGTGTTTGTGGTTCTGTTTGTGATGTGGTTCTGTGCGTCTGTGATGTGGTTCTGTTTGTGATGTGGTTCTATGTGTTTGTGGTTCTGTGTGTCTGTGATGTCGTTCTGTGTGTTTGTGATGTGGTTCTGTGTGTCTGTGGTTCTGTGTGTCTGTGGTTCTGTGTGTCTGTGATGTCGTTCTGTGTGTTTGTGATGTGGTTCTGTGTGTTTGTGGTTCTGTGTGTTTGTGGTGCTGTGTGTTTGTGGTTCTGTGTGTTTGTGGTTCTGTGTGTTTGTGGTTCTGTGTGTTTGTGGTTCTGTGTGTTTGTGGTTCTGTGTGTTTGTGGTTCTGTGTGTTTGTGGTTCTGTGTGTTTGTGGTTCTGTGTGTCTGTGGTTCTGTGTGTTTGTGGTTCTGTGTGTTTGTGGTTCTGTGTGTTTGTGGTTCTGTGTGTTTGTGGTTCTGTGTGTTTGTGGTTCTGTGTGTTTGTGGTTCTGTGTGTCTGTGGTTCTGTGTGTTTGTGGTTCTGTGTGTTTATGGTGCTGTGTGTGTTTGTGGTTCTGTGTGTCTGTGGTTCTGTGTGTTTGTGGTGCTGTGTGTTTATGGTGCTGTGTGTGTTTGTGGTTCTGTGTGTTTGTGGTTCTGTGTGTTTGTGGTTCTGTGTGTTTGTGGTTCTGTGTGTGTTTGTGGTGCTGTGTGTGTTTGTGGTTCTGTGTGTTTGTGGTTCTGTGTGTGTCTGTGGTTCTGTGTGTCTGTGGTGCTGTGTGTTTGTGGTTCTGTGTGTCTGTGGTGCTGTGTGTGTTTGTGGTTCTGTGTGTTTGTGGTTCTGTGTGTGTCTGTGGTTCTGTGTGTCTGTGGTGCTGTGTGTTTGTGGTTCTGTGTGTTTGTGGTTCTGTGTGTTTGTGGTGTGGTTCTGTGTGTCTGTGATGTGGTTCTGTTTGTGATGTGGTTCTGTGTGTCTGTGATGTGGTTCTGTTTGTGATGTGGTTCTGTGCGTCTGTGATGTGGTTCTGTTTGTGATGTGGTTCTATGTGTTTGTGGTTCTGTGTGTCTGTGATGTGGTTCTGTGTGTTTGTTGTGTGGTTCTGTGTGTCTGTGATGTGGTTCTGTTTGTGATGTGGTTCTGTGTGTCTGTGATGTGGTTCTGTTTGTGATGTGGTTCTGTGTGTCTGTGATGTGGTTCTGTGTGTTTGTGGTTCTGTGTGTCTGTGATGTGGTTCTGTGTGTTTGTTGTGTGGTTCTGTGTGTCTGTGATGTGGTTCTGTTTGTGATGTGGTTCTGTGTGTCTGTGATGTGGTTCTGTGTGTCTGTGATGTGGTTCTGTGTGTCTGTGATGTGGTTCTGTGTGTTTGTGGTTCTGTGTGTTTGTGGTGTGGTTCTGTGTGTCTGTGATGTGGTTCTGTTTGTGATGTGGTTCTGTGTGTCTGTGATGTGGTTCTGTTTGTGATGTGGTTCTGTGCGTCTGTGATGTGGTTCTGTTTGTGATGTGGTTCTATGTGTTTGTGGTTCTGTTTGTGATGTGGTTCTGTGCGTCTGTGATGTGGTTCTGTTTGTGATGTGGTTCTATGTGTTTGTGGTTCTGTGTGTCTGTGATGTCGTTCTGTGTGTTTGTGATGTGGTTCTGTGTGTCTGTGGTTCTGTGTGTCTGTGGTTCTGTGTGTCTGTGATGTCGTTCTGTGTGTTTGTGATGTGGTTCTGTGTGTTTGTGGTTCTGTGTGTTTGTGGTGCTGTGTGTTTGTGGTTCTGTGTGTTTGTGGTTCTGTGTGTTTGTGGTTCTGTGTGTTTGTGGTTCTGTGTGTTTGTGGTTCTGTGTGTTTGTGGTTCTGTGTGTTTGTGGTTCTGTGTGTTTGTGGTTCTGTGTGTCTGTGGTTCTGTGTGTTTGTGGTTCTGTGTGTTTGTGGTTCTGTGTGTTTGTGGTTCTGTGTGTTTGTGGTTCTGTGTGTTTGTGGTTCTGTGTGTTTGTGGTTCTGTGTGTCTGTGGTTCTGTGTGTTTGTGGTTCTGTGTGTTTATGGTGCTGTGTGTGTTTGTGGTTCTGTGTGTCTGTGGTTCTGTGTGTTTGTGGTGCTGTGTGTTTATGGTGCTGTGTGTGTTTGTGGTTCTGTGTGTTTGTGGTTCTGTGTGTTTGTGGTTCTGTGTGTTTGTGGTTCTGTGTGTGTTTGTGGTGCTGTGTGTGTTTGTGGTTCTGTGTGTTTGTGGTTCTGTGTGTGTCTGTGGTTCTGTGTGTCTGTGGTGCTGTGTGTTTGTGGTTCTGTGTGTCTGTGGTGCTGTGTGTGTTTGTGGTTCTGTGTGTTTGTGGTTCTGTGTGTGTCTGTGGTTCTGTGTGTCTGTGGTGCTGTGTGTTTGTGGTTCTGTGTGTTTGTGGTTCTGTGTGTTTGTGGTGTGGTTCTGTGTGTCTGTGATGTGGTTCTGTTTGTGATGTGGTTCTGTGTGTCTGTGATGTGGTTCTGTTTGTGATGTGGTTCTATGTGTTTGTGGTTCTGTGTGTCTGTGATGTGGTTCTGTGTGTCTGTGATGTCGTTCTGTGTGTTTGTGATGTGGTTCTGTGTGTCTGTGGTTCTGTGTGTCTGTGGTTCTGTGTGTCTGTGATGTCGTTCTGTGTGTTTGTGATGTGGTTCTGTGTGTTTGTGGTTCTGTGTGTTTGTGGTGCTGTGTGTTTGTGGTTCTGTGTGTTTGTGGTTCTGTGTGTTTGTGGTTCTGTGTGTTTGTGGTTCTGTGTGTTTGTGGTTCTGTGTGTTTGTGGTTCTGTGTGTTTGTGGTTCTGTGTGTTTGTGGTTCTGTGTGTTTGTGGTTCTGTGTGTTTGTGGTTCTGTGTGTTTGTGGTTCTGTGTGTTTGTGGTTCTGTGTGTTTGTGGTTCTGTGTGTTTGTGGTTCTGTGTGTTTGTGGTTCTGTGTGTCTGTGGTTCTGTGTGTTTGTGGTTCTGTGTGTTTATGGTGCTGTGTGTGTTTGTGGTTCTGTGTGTCTGTGGTTCTGTGTGTTTGTGGTGCTGTGTGTTTATGGTGCTGTGTGTGTTTGTGGTTCTGTGTGTTTGTGGTTCTGTGTGTTTGTGGTGCTGTGTGTTTATGGTGCTGTGTGTGTTTGTGGTTCTGTGTGTTTGTGGTTCTGTGTGTTTGTGGTTCTGTGTGTTTGTGGTTCTGTGTGTGTTTGTGGTGCTGTGTGTGTTTGTGGTTCTGTGTGTTTGTGGTTCTGTGTGTGTCTGTGGTTCTGTGTGTCTGTGGTGCTGTGTGTTTGTGGTTCTGTGTGTCTGTGGTTCTGTGTGTGTTTGTGGTTCTGTGTGTTTGTGGTTCTGTGTGTGTCTGTGGTTCTGTGTGTTTGTGGTTCTGTGTGTTTGTGGTTCTGTGTGTTTGTGGTTCTGTGTGTTTGTGGTTCTGTGTGTTTGTGGTTCTGTGTGTTTGTGGTTCTGTGTGTTTGTGGTTCTGTGTGTGTCTGTGGTTCTGTGTGTTTGTGGTTCTGTGTGTTTGTGGTTCTGTGTGTTTGTGGTTCTGTGTGTCTGTGGTGCTGTGTGTTTGTGGTTCTGTGTGTCTGTGGTTCTGTGTGTGTTTGTGGTTCTGTGTGTTTGTGGTTCTGTGTGTTTGTGGTTCTGTGTGTGTCTGTGGTTCTGTGTGTTTGTGGTTCTGTGTGTTTGTGGTTCTGTGTGTTTGTGGTTCTGTGTGTGGTCTTGTGAGTCACGATATGACTCTAGGTTACAGTCCTTCATGAATGTGAAAGCTGGTGACTGTTGAAAGAGCAGTTAGATGGATTTTAGTCACATTTGTGGATTGAAAGTTAAAGGATGACAACAGTTTTAAGATGACAACAAACTGTTAAACTATAAACGCATGCAGAGGGTCTGGCCAGGGCTTTTTAGTGGAATAATGGTTTACGACCGTGTTTATGGAGCCGTTTATTATCACACAGGAGCTGCACGTGTGGCTCTCTCCTGACGGGACCTCTCCTGACGGGACCTCTCCTGACGGGACCTCTCCTGACGGGACCTCTCCTGACGGGACCTCTCCTGACGGGACCTCTCCTGACGGGACCTCTCCTGACGGGACCTCTCCTGACGGGACCTCTCCTGACGGGACCTCTCCTGACGGGACCTCTCCTGACGGGACCTCTCCATGTGCAGCTCCTGGGACAGACCCCATGTGCTTCTGATCAACACTCACTTCCTGACCGCTTCCTGTCCCTTACAGATCTGCTACTGGACAGCTGCCCCCAGAATCACCATCTAACATACAGTATATGTATACACTATACAGTATATATACTATATATATACTGTATAAAAGACTTGCATGCAAAGCTATATACAAGGTCTGCCCATTAAACATTCAATGTAATTAGGAGGAAAGAGAGAGCAAGATGGCGCCGTGTCATGGCGCCGCAGTGAGAGCTCTAGTGTGCACAATCTGTGTTTTGTTGCCGTTTGTCTGTGAGTCACTTGCCACAGTGAAGTATGACCGAGAGGCGCTTCTTAACATTCGGGATCACGCGGGTGACGGGTCACTCGTACTACCCAAACTGAGGTGCACAAACTTCCTCGAGTGTCCCACTCGAGAGGCTGGTGGAGCACGGCAGGCGGGCCGCGGCGGTGGCCGCCAACAGAGCGAGGGGACTGGGCGTCTCTGGCGTTCTCTCCGCGGTGTGGAGCTGGGCACCTCGAGTCGGCAAAGGAGGCGCAGACACCGGGGAAGGCGAGGCGGTCTGCTCGTTCGTAGCTGCTCCTCCAGGACCCCTTTGCCCTCCATCTACCTGGCCAACGTCCAGTCTCTGCCCAACAAGACGGACGAGCTCCTGTGTCGGGTCCAGAGCCAGCGCGAGGCCCGGGACTGTGTTCTGCCTCAGCGAGACGTGGCTCCACACGAACGTCCCGGACTCTGCTGTTCAGCCCCCGGGATTCACCGCTCACCGCTCGGACAGAGCGAAGGAGACCACGGGCAAGGCCAGAGGCGGAGGTGTGTGCTTTTTAATTAATCAGCGCTGGTGCACGGACACTCGAGTCGTGAACCAAACATGTACTGCCAATCTGGAATGCCTGGTCTTGAGCTGTCGCCCTTTTTATCTTCCTCGTGAGTTTTCAGTAATATTTGTATGTGCTGTTTACATTCACCCACGGGCGGATTACAAAGTAGCCCTACAGGATCTGAGCCAGATCCTTCACAAACATGAGTCTGCTCATCCTAACGCAGTCATCATTGTTGCTGGGGATTTCAATAAATGTAATTTAAAGACTCCCGAACTTTTACCAACATGTGACTCGAGCTACAAGAGGAGCACATGTTCTGGATCACTGCTACAGTAACGTGAAGGGAGCTGACAGGTCCAGTCTCAGACCTCCTTTTGGAAAGTCTGACCACTCCTCTGTTCTCCTTCTTCCTTCGTATACTCAGAGGAGCAGGGAACATAAACCAACCTCTCGCACTGTGCAGTGTTGGTCTGAGGAGGCTAGCATGAAGCTACAAGGTTGTTTTGATGCTATGGACTGGTCTGTGTTTCAGTCAGAGGACGTCAATGAATTCTGTGACGCTGTGTCTGGATGCATACGCTTCTGTATTGACTGCTGTGTCCCACAGAAGGTCATTAAAGAACATTTTAGTCAAAACCCTTGGATGAACGCGGAAGTGAAACTGAAACTTCATGAGCGTGCGTTGGCGTTTCAATCAAATGATACAGTTGCTTATAAGCTATCCTGTTACTCATTGAAACGTTCTATTAAATCTGCAAAGCGCAGTTACGGGGACAGGTTAAAGAGTTATTTTGAGGAAGATGACCCTCGGCGCATGTGGAACGGTATTAAAGCCATCACATCGTGGAAACCTAGCGCTGGGAAAATTGCATCTGTCGGCCAAGCTCTGCCAAACGAGCTGAACACGTTCTACTGTCGCTTTGAATCTGCTGATGCCTGTCCTACTGTATTCCCTGAGTGTTTCAATCAAGGTCCCTTCACCGTGACTCAGGAGGAAGTCAGGCGTGTCTTGTCCAGGACCACAGTCCGGAAAGCCCCAGGCCCGGACGGCATCCCTCCTCGTGTCCTGAAACTGTGCTCTGAGCAACTTGCTCCTGTGCTAACAGACATTTTCAACCTGTCGCTAAGGAACTGTACTGTGCCGAACTGCTTTAAAGAGTCGACCATTATCCCAGTTCCTAAGAAAACTCCTGTGACATGCCTGAATGACTATCGTCCTGTGGCTCTCACTTCTGTTCTTATGAAGACTTTTGAGCGGCTCGTGCTGGAGTTCATTAAGAGCCAGATCCCTGTGAGTGTTGACCCGCTCCAGTTTGCTACAGACAGAACAGGAGTGTGGAGGATGCATCTCCTTTGCTCTGAACTCTGTCTACAGTCACTTGGACACTAGGAAATCTGTGGCCAGAATGCTTTTCATCGATTATAGCTCTGCTTTTAACTGCCTTGTCCCAGGTAAACTGATTGAAAAGCTCATGTCTCTGGGTTTAAGTGTTGCCATGTGTAAATGGATTTTTAGCTTTTTAACTGACAGATCTCAGAGAGTGTTTTTCTGATGTTGTTTCTGTGAGCACTGGTTCTCCTCAGGGATGTATTTTGAGTCCTTTGCTTTTTACTTTGTACACTCACGATTGTGTGTCCTCCTCTGACTCAAACTTGATCATCAAATATGCTGATGACACCACCATCATCGGTCTCATCAGTGACACTGATGAATCCTCTTATAGAGCAGAGATACAAAATGTGGTTCAGTGGAGTCAAACTAACAACCTCCAGTTGAACGCATCCAAAACATGTGAACTGGTCTACGACTTCAGTCGCAATAGTTCTCATTTGCCTGTCGTAATCGACAACTCCCAGGTGCAGATCGTAGAGGAGCAAGTTTCTGGGTTTAACTCTGTCTAACCTGAAATGGGTTAAAAACACTGACCGAGTCGTTAAGAAAGCTCGTCAGCGTCTCTACTTTCTGCGTAAACTTAGAGAATTTACCACTAACTCTAAGATTGTGCTTAACTTTTATGGCTGCACCATTGAGAGTTTACTTGTTGGTTCTGTGTCTGTGTGGTTTGGAAACATCACAGATACAGAAAAGAGAGCTTTAAACAAGGTGCTCCGCTCTGCAAAGAGGACCGTGGGCTGTGAGCTTCCTGTTCTGGAGGTTCTTTATAAATCCACACTTTTAAACAAAGCTCTTAGGATTGTTAATGACTCTTCTGGCCACCCTGGGAAAGCCATGTTCCAGCTTCTTCCCTCTGGCAGAAGATATCGCTCTCTGAGATGCAGGACATCTCGTTACGCTAACAGTTTTTATCCACAGGCTGTTATCAGTGGGAACAGAGCACTTTAATGATTTGCACTTGTTTTGAAACTGTTTTAGTCGATCCATTTCACAGTGACATTTGTTTACTGTTTTATTTGTTTTATTTCTGTCTTTTAATGTTGTTTTATGTCTGTATTTGTCTGTGCACACTGGAGACTTTTGCTAATGTATTCCAATGTGTTTTTTTTTAC